TAGCAGTGGATGACAGAAAATGAAACAAATCTTTGTACAGTGCCTTCAAAGATTATGAGTGTTCTGGAAAAAAATACAGTCATGATGGGGAGTGCGGGTGGGTGGGGGGTATGAAGCCAGGCTGGAACTCCAAATAGGGTGGTCCAGAGGCCTCACTGAGAAGGTGACATGGGAGCATGCTGGAAGGAGCTGGGGGAGCTCTCCATGCAAAGAAACACCGGTGACAGTAGTTTTCCAGATGACACCATCTGACAGTAGCCCCCAAAAATGAATGAATAAAAACCAGTGAAAAAGGTTTGCTGTGCTCAGGCCCCACCGGCAGCCTTGTGTGGTCCCAGTGCGATGAGCAAAGGAGAGGGTGCTCAGAGGTCACGCCATGGAGGACACGGCCAGCCATTTAAGGACGTTGATTTTACTCTCATGAGATGGGAAACCCACTGGAGGATGGTATGATAACCCCACATACACATTTAACAGAATCCTTTCCTGTTACATTGAGAAGCAGCGCAGAGTGCATGTCAGTGATGATGCTACACAATGGGAGGCTATGAAGTAGTGGATGGATTGTCCTCTGCATATAGACCCTGGAGGAAACAGGAGTACACCAAAACCGTTAACACCCTACTGTCGTAGGATCTTTCTTTAGTAGAGCCTTTTTCTTCCTTCTTTATACTCCCACCCCTTCCAGTAAGTGTTGTAAACTTAAATTTTCATCAATAATTATACCTTTCTTACTATACTAAAGCATTCCGTGTGCAGGTCTCACATTTCTAGTTTGACTATTTTTAAACTCCATTTCACACTAAGTTTATATCTTTCCATTTTCACACCCATGTTCATGTGGCGAATGTGGTTACAGATACACCTCCATGACTCTTCCTCTTGATATCCGGACCCCTTTCAACTCTTGCTTCCGATGAACTATATGCTATATCCATCCTTGTTTGTGATATTTTACTGCACCTACCAGGTGTTCTGGGTAATTATCTAGTCTTCTGTTAAAGATGTTTATATTTGAGCTATCACTGGCATCAATCTTTTTGGTTATATCTTAGGACAATGCTAGAATATAAATTCTGAAGATAAGCTAATTTTAACTTTGATTTCTTATTTCACTAGAATTAAAATAGGCCAAATCAGATCTTCTCAAATTTGAGTATTATAAAGCACCACTTGTAGAGAGCAAAATAAAAATCCTCTAAACTTGCTAAGTTTGTTTTGTACGTTTGCACCCACAGCACAATAAAATAAAATAAAATTGCTAAGGTTGGATAGGGAGCTATGGTAGCATAATGCCTAAGGTGCTTGACTGCTAACCAGAAGGCTGGCAGTT